AAATACAACATCTTTTAAGATTATTATTTTCTGGTTTGTTTCTGTGGGATAAATCCATATGTGTGTTTAATCCTATGAATAGATGTCCTAATTTTTTTTTCTACAATCTATTTGAACATAACAAAGGTGTCTTTGTGCTTTGTTTCCTCTCTTTAATTTTGTCTCTTGTCTCTGTTGCATGGGAAGAGGATAGCAAGGATGAACTGCATGTTGTAGGTGTGTCTGTCAAAGAGCTGTTGGTCAGTATTACTAAATTTACATACATATATGCAAAGAGTTTGTCTGCATTGTACAGTTTGTGTTTATTCTTATTTGTTGTATACACAGATTCAAATGATGAATAAAACATTTATATGAAGGTATACTGGAAAACAACAAAAATGTTTATGTAAGAAGTAGACTGTGCAAAACATCATTGCACTGGCCACAGGATGGTGAAACTTCATGTAAATAGGTTGGCAAACTCAGTTCTCCCCCTTTACCATGCCAAAGAAAATTTTAGCTCCTTAATATAATACCTCTCTTGCTGTTCTCCAGGATGAGACTTCACCATTTTCTTCCCTCTAAAATTAATTTTGCTGTTAAGTGAAAGCTGTTTTCAACTGTCTGTTAACAACTAAAGTACTGTATAGTAAACCTGATGGAATCAATTTGTACTTACAGGTTGGGGTTTTTGTACTTACACGTCCAGCTGTCTGTGAATCTGCAGCATTCCAGACCTTTTGCATGCTTACTTTGTATTTTGTTCTTCTGGGTTTTATCTAATCTCTGAGAGACTGTTTGCACAGAAATCTAACCTCATCTTACCATTTTATATGTTAACACTGCACATAGTCATTATCTCTTTTTTTTTTTCTGATCTGTATTTCAGCTACAGTTCTATTTGGCAAAATCAGTCACACCTGCACAGTTACAGAAACACAGTTTTAGGTAGATACGAACTACTTCAACAAAGCACCACTTTGTTGTACTTCAAAAATTTTATAAATACACAGGAATCCTTATGAGATTGCTCACATGATACAGCCTATAGAAGGGGCTTTAGCCCCTTTTAAGTGCTTTGTAGTTCACATAGCAGAGCTTTTGCTTAATTTGCTGGGGGTTTTAGCCATACTGAAATGATTTTTTTAATATACTGTCATTTTCATTAACTTGTGTAGAGTCAGGTTGGTTCTTAATAAATCTCTTCCACAGCCCCATCCTCCCCAGATATACAGTAAAGCAATTCACTTTGACTATGGTATGTACCTGAAAAAATACTAAGAACTCTGGCTTTATATATATATAGGGACTTTTTTTGTCTTGGGTTAAAACTAGTTTAAGCAATGAGGTATGAAAGCAGGCAGTTTGATCAATGCATTAAAAGCATGTCTTGATCCATCTCTTTATTGGTATGAAGAAGAAATTATCCAGCTCCATTCAAGTGGGAATGCAAGTAAAATTAGACCAAAATAGAAGGTTCTCTTTCTTTAAATTGCCCTTTAGATAAATTCATGCTCCGTGCAATGCATTCTAAAATGTTTGATAACAGGTGGGGTTTTTTGGGTGATGACTAATGCAAATGCTATGACTTATTTTTAAAGATGTAATAAAATTTTTGTTCTATTACCTAGTCACAGGAGTATTCAACTTAGCTTTCTTTGTCCCAGTATCATTTAGCTGTATCATTTAGCTACAAAGTGAGATGTAATTCTGCAAAGAAGCAAGGGAAGTGCATCAGAAAAGTCAGAGCAGGTACACAATTAAAGGTTCATCTGTGTGATTCTAAAAGAGAGTATGGCCAAGGGAAAAAAGGATTACAAGCAGGTTAATTATTTATAGAAGCAAATCAGTCCACAGCTGTTTTGTAGGTGATATTGCAGATATGTTATATACAATAAGCGTAATCCTGCAAGTCTGTTGTAGAAGCATTTGGCTGGATTGTGTTCTTTCTCTCAAGCAAGCAAGTAAGTCTATATTATCTTTGTTTATAAGGTTTATCAATCTAATCAGTACAAAATCCCCATCTATCCAATTGGTTTTGCCAGCTAGAACTGCCTTTTGTCACAGACCTGGAAACAAGTTTCTAGAGTCACTAGTATGAAGAATCAAGCAGTAAGTTTCACCTCCTTACCCCTCTTCCTGCTTTTAATGTTTATGTGTCTGGAATTCCCATCGTAGGGAATGAGGTGTAAAATCACAATTTATTAATACAGCTATTATTTTTCACATATGTGTACTAATAATCTTATTCCTTCTGATCTCATTTTTCTGGTGAGGAAATGAGCCACAAAACAGCTCTGCTGAGTGTCACATCACCAGTTGCCTCAGCATGAAGAGCAAGGGAAATGTTCAAGCAACATTATAAGAAACAGAATAAAAATTGGCAAAGAATAATGTGTACATTACATTTTTAGTAGTCTTAGTTAATACTTTAAGGTTTATAGTAATAGCACCATTTTGTTTGACAATTGCATTTTAATGAACCACTGGCAGTAGCTGTCTTAGATATTCTAATTTTTTTTCCACGTGTAACTTAACAAACAATTTGGATAACACTTTTTGAAATGCTCTGGCTACATAATTCATCTAGTAGACAAAATGTTGGAGTTGATTGGGGTTTAAAAAAAAATCAAACTAGAAATAAGAATTACCTTACAGTCTTTAAGGGTATAAATTTAAAATTAAAGCAAATTACAAAGTAAAACACATCAAATATGACACTGCAACTGTCTAAAGAGTTGTTCTTTTATATATGAATGAAATACCACAGCTGATCTGCAGTATATCTAAATCTGCTTATGATGCCATGAAACAAGTTAAAAGCATCTACTGATGCCAGATAAGAGTTTTGATTTTCTAGTATTTTCTTGTTACAGGACTAAATACAAATGGAAGGAAATCAAGGAAAGCTTTGTATTCTTCATTGTTTACACTCTGATTTGGCAGATGAATGTATATGCAAAAAGTCCACTAATCATAAGATGATTCAGGTCAGCAGTATTCATAAATAAAAGTAACAACCTGTGCTCTCCAGACACTAGGGTTGGCAAAATACATAGATGCTGAACTCCATGGACCTCAACAGGAATATTTTCTTACGTTTTAAGGGTTATAAGTATAAAATATTAACTCAAATTTCAAGATTAATTTTACTTTGAAGATTCTTCATACTGTATTGATAAATTTTAGAACTCTGCCTGGTATTCTGGTTACCTTATAAGAGAGCAGCTAGCAGCTTTGGGATGTGTATCTCATTATTTATCTGCATAACATATAGAAGTTGGATATTTGGCAATTAGACTCCCTGAGAACTTGGGTTTCACAAGCTTCACTTTTAGAAAGAAAGAATCCAGGTTAAGGAAAAAAGTGGGTAAGAGAAAGAGCGAGCTACATGGGAAGGGGGAATAATAAAGTGATTACATAAATTTATTTGAAATTTTTGCATTCTATTACATGTTCTGTACCGTTGTATTTTCCTATTGCAAAACTGTCCTTTCCAAAAGAAAGCTGATGTCTAGACTAATAATGGAAAACCTTTTCTGGTTGATATATAGTTCCCATATTTCTGAGTCATGTACCTCTTCAAAAATCAGAACCTTGGCACCTAAACCACAATGTTACGGTTTGGTATCTGAAAGAAGTATTTTTCAGTCATTTAAGTAATTTCTTGCTCAATCATGGTTTCACAAAATGTAAACACTTTTGAAACTAAAATGTATTTTCTTTTTTTCGATTGTTTTTTTTTTTTGCTCTAAAGAATTCAAGGGCTGCCAAATCTACATGTACAAAAAAATAAGATACTCATATGTAAATAAGTTAGGGAAGTCCCAATAGTCGTGCATCGTTCATAACTCAATGTGAATTTCACACTGAGCAGCATTTCACCATTGGACAATAAAAAATAAAATTTTTGTTCATACCACTGCTTGGTTTGTATTTGCTGTATTAAAACTTTAATTACTTTGTTGACGTTGTCTGAACATCTTTGGCTGCATAGCACAGATCATTTTTTAAGTCAGTTGACCATCAAATTACCCACTCCTATAAAAGCTGTTAAATTCAATTAACGCCACGGGTGACAGTGTAATCTCTTCTAAACAGTGATTCCTAATACTAGGCAGAATTGTTATCCTAAAAGCTATCAATATAACAAATTTTCATTTGCTTTACTTTCAAGAGACAACTGTACATACATAGAATAGTATGACAGAAGTACATAGGAGTTGCAGGATACACATTCAGCATAGGCAATCATTTATATCTTTATTAGCTTCATTCCTTATGTTCATATAGGTTATGTATTTGAAAGTATTGTAGAATGTAGATTAGATAACCAACTTACTGACTTGTCAACCACAAAAAAAAAAGTCTTGTGGAAAAGGGTCTGTTCAAATATTTTAGGTCTTCACTATATGTCATGTAATTGGACCTCAGTTATATAATTATTTGACCAAATGAAAAAAACATTAATATTTTTATAGGTTTCTTTACAGCTTCTCCCATTTTGTGAGCTGGTGCATAATCAGGATTGTTAGAAAGAAAAAAGGGCCAAATAATGTATTTTTCAAACATGATAAAATTAATCAAACTACTTGACAAATATTCAAGCAGTGCTGCTTTTCTACAGGTGTATTGTTGCATATTGATAAGAGGAGGTGACAAACAAGTAAATAACGATTAAAAAATGCTTTCTTGTATCTTTTCCAAAAGTTGCTTAAAGAAATAGGCATTATGGGTATAATCTTGATTCCATTGAATTTATGAAAAAAATCCGGAGAAGTTCCACAGGGACAGTGTTACATGACTTCACCTTCTAATGCTTGGACTGTCATGCTCCCTATTTTAGTTTTCTGATGCATTTCCTTAAGGAGCAGGTCCTCAAATATGTTCTAAGGTATTTACGACCATGTACGTGTGTGTACATGCACTCCCACACACTGAGCACTTCTGAAATTAAATGTTCTAGCAGCCTAAAGAAAAACAAACAAAAAAATCTCCTCAGTTTTTGATGTCCTTCATTAAGGGTATTCTTTCCCCAGCCAGATTTCACAAGCATTTCCATTCCATCCTTCCCAGCACTCACAGTTTCCACAGCTACAAACACCATTGCCTAGAATAGAATGAATAAAGGGTAATTATCATAATTGAAATGTACTACATTAAAGTGTGTTTTATGGGAAGTAAAAAGCCATGCTAAAGTAGTTGTTCCTTTATTGTTCCCCCACCCCACTCCCTTTTTTTTTCCCTTTGGAAGGAAGCAATTACTGTACCATTGCAGTAAGAAGCCACCCCAAACCTACACTTACAAAGCATTAATAGCATTTTCTCAATAATTCCATCAGCAGTATAGCAAATATTGTAATTGTGTATTGTTCAGTGAAATTGTGTACACCACTATTTGTACCCAGCTGGTGAGGCTCAGTGTTCACACTGTGCCTCCAGGTACAAGGTAAAACAGGATTACTTTTAACTATTATGCACAAAGAAAAAGTCACTAAAAGTTACCAACAGAATAGCAGTAAAACCATCACTTTGAACATGAAAAACTTTCAGCCTAAATTCTCAGAGGTGCTATAAAAATAAGTCATATCTTAAATTCTCCGTTACATGAGAAATGTGTTGGTCCTATTTTGCAGCAAGGAAGTATTAAGTATCGAGGCCTATATATTAATTTTATTTAAATATTTTTTATGACTCTTGGATGCTCAACTTGAGACCTCTACAGCCTGGGTTTCCAATGTGGCCTCCTCTTCCTACTGACTTTATGAAGATCCATGGATAGCCATTACAGCTGAAGACAAGGCTGCTATACTGGCTACTTGCCTCCTGAAAAGGACCCTTGCTAATAGGGCTAGCTGGAAGACACAATTTACTAGTGTGAGCCTTCCCACTCTCACTCTAATTGGCCTGAAGATTTTTTCCACATCTAGTAATTGCTCCACAAAGATTTTCTAAAATTAAGATTTGTTACAGGAAGCAGCCAGTGAGTTAATTTAACAATTCCCATGCTGCTCCTTGTCACTGTGTTTGCCATGAGGGTTTATTGGCAGCCTGCCCATTTCTATCTGCATCTGCCACCTGAACCCTCAGACAATGTTAAGGTGAAGCTGCTGGAATCATTAGCTATCACGTCATAAGAAAAGCTGTCGGGTATTTCAGCCTCCCACTGAGAATTGTCTGGTTGCCAGGAAGCTCTGTTAACCCACACTACTATGCCTCTCACCTACCAGAGATCACGAGCTGAGTGAATTTTGTCTGTCACTTGAAAGTATTATACACATAGAACATTCAGTGAAAGAACAAAGGCTAAGGAAACCTCATGATCGCAATGCTGACACTACGTCCTTTGCCAAAAAAGCAGCAACTTGTTGCCTATGACAGTGAGAATTGTTGATGGATTTTGTAGCTGGCTTACTTATTTAAATTCATACTCAGGCTTTCAACTGTTGTTTTGAAACCTTAAGTTGATTATCATGCTGCAAGAAACAATTATAGCAGGTTTGTATAACCAGCAAATATGCTTCCTCTGTCAGTGGGGAAAGAAGAAGCTGAGCTTTGTCTAACATAATTCCCATCAAAGCAGTTTGTTTCTTGAAGCAATTAAGTGCTAGCCTATACTGCACCTGTGCAAATGAGTCCATCATGTTTGTCACAGTCTCTGTCATCACATTCACAGAAATCACCCGAAATGTACCATTCCTGGGGTGAACAGATGCACTTTCCACAGTGGCAGGAACCTGAAATCACAAAAACTATTACTAGCAGTCAAAGTGCACTGGCATTTTCAGACTAGAAAATAACAACCCCAGGCACACACGTGCTCATGTGTGCATATGCACGAAATTGCTGCTTAAGAGGCTATTGCATAAAAGAAAATCATCATGCTAAAAGCCTTTTGAACAAAAGGATTCTTTTGGCATGGGCTATAGTATGGTGGGATGTTACTACTAATGCTTCAATCCTGCTATTTCACTTAATCAGGACTCACATTTTGAAGCTTTTCTTTTGGTTTCAGAGACCTACAATCAGGGCTTCTCTTCCCAGTAACTGTTCTTTTATTTTTTTTACTAGAAAAGCTAAAATTGTCCCTGACCCACTGTTACTGAAGGCAATGAAATCACACCCAGGAATAAAATGCTCTTCCTGATCTAAAGCCTTTAGGGGTGAGTTTCCAAAAGATCAGTAGTGCCTAAGACTAACATTTAGACCCCCAAATCCTCCTCACCACCAATGAAGCTGCTCCACCTCCCGTGGAATAACTAAATATTTGCTCTGTGTCAGAGTTTGTGCTTGTAATGGTGGTTCAGCCCTTGGCTCATTTCTGCACAGTACCCTAATGGCCCTTGTTGGGACAAACTGCTCTTCTCCTCCTCAGGTCTCACCCCACAGGCAAAGGAGGGACTTTATGGTGATGATTGGGTGATGCCATAACCCACAGAGCACCAGAAACTCCTTCTAAGACAAAACTTGGAGACAGGAAAAGGTTCATGGCTCTGAATCCTGGAAAGTGACAGCTGCTCCCAGACAATCGTGTCAGGAAGCCTCTAGCCTCAAAAGGGTGTGGAAGAGGCTTTTCTGCGACTTGAAATGCCACTAGGGGGTAATCCTTCATCCTGGATTTGGCTTTTCCAGGTCCCATCTTCAGCAGCCTGACCCTATACAGAGTTCAGATATTTAAACACTGAGGTGGGGCACTAACTGTTGAGCAGAAATCCTTTTGTCAACTTAGCCTGAAGAATGGATTACAGGAGAAATCAATATTTTTAAAAATTAGCAGCCCAAAGAAATTATAGCAAAGTATACACACACAGTTTTCAAACACGGGAGAAAGAGTTTTAAAAAAAGGTACTAAACAAGCTGTTGATCTTTAACAGAACATGCTTATAAATGAGTTCAATGCAAATGAAAATCCTACCTGCTTGCAATATTTCCAGAATGATTCCATTAAAAATCACCATGTGTTTAATGCAATATTAAAAAAAATTATATAGAAGGAAGCTTGGTTATGTCAGAATTTAACCTGAACAGAATTCACAGGTTATTTAACTGGCCTGAGCAGAAGTCTATTAAATTATGCTTTTCCAGTTCTTTCAGGGACCTCTGAATAAAATCCATAGGAATAATCCTAATACACTTTAAAAAAAACAACAATTTCCCATAGGTCTTTCCCACAAATACTGAAGTGCCTCTGATCACTTAAACTTAATGCTTTAAAACTTCAGAACAGCCTCAGCAGAGAATCTAATTTTTAATTAAATATGTAATTTAATGTTTATGTTAAATGCACAAAAATTAACTCATTGCCTAATTTTAGGGAAATGCTTTAACTGGTAACATATGGAACATGCAAATATATTCAGGAAGAGCTAGTGATTGGAACATTTGTGGATGGGAGCATTTGATTAAGTATCTCCTTCTTCTGTGAGTTCTGAGTATTGCTTACTGAGCCACCAGCACAGAAAATATTGACATTCCCTACAAGGATAAAAATTGCTATAGTATAAAGAAGCAATGGAGGATACATATGACATGTTTGCTGTATAAGAGGTACACTAAGACATACTTGAGGGCAATTTAAAGCAAATGTCTCTGTATATACAAACTGCAAAGTACTGATAGCGGAAAATAAGGAAGACTATCATGAGAATTTTAGTGAAACTAAAGCAGTTAATAAGGGTGTTACATTGTAGGAAACCTGAGGTGATTCTGCATAAGCAAGCACTGATGCTGCTGTTGAGGGATGCCCACAATGTTTAAAACCATTTTGCAGAAGATACAGCAAATTTAACACCAAGTCAACCAAGGCAAGTCAAGCTCCATAATGCAAAATCTGTTAAGGAGAATGAATGTATCTAGTCTTTTCCCTGAACAGAGCATGCTGCTCTGGGAGGCTCCTCAGTTTAATTAAAATGAGTCTAATGAGTTGCAGGGTGTTTCCTGGGATCCCAGCCAGATCCTCTCAGATGGGATTTGGCTCATTACCTTTCCTGCATCCTGCACCGCTACAGTGGCCATATGCAGCTCTATATTTACTGCCAGGGAGGCAGCAGCGTGGTGGGTGGTGCTGTTTGCCTTGGGAAGAGCTTTTACTACAGGTGGCACAGTCAACCAGCCAAGATTCTGAAAACAGCCAAGGAATGTGAATGTCCAACTTCGCTTATATTAACAGAGTGCAATTTTCTGACAGGCTTCAGTAGTTATCTGCTGAAAACCAGGACTCCTCACAGTCTGTTAAATCCTACATCCAGAAATGCAAACTCCCTTCGGTCCATTATAGCCCTTGAATATCCTGGCTAGGTTTCCAGCAAAGAGGGAATAACCACCATTAGCACACAGGTTCAAGATTCCCTTTATATTTGACCAGCACCATTATTTGTTTCTCATTGTAATGAAACCAATTTGCCATTTTGGCCTCTGGATAATGCTGGTCACACTAGCTATGAAGAGCATTTTAAAGTACGAGCGTCCAGTAAGACATGATTTCCAGATACATAGCTAAGCATCTAGAATAGGAACAGACAGGAGACAGCAGCCTCCTTGAATGTTTACTGACCACACACTACTGAAGTTATCTTAGACAGGTATTTCTCTGCTGGGACAAGCACTTATATGTGACCAGCTGACCTACACTAAAGCTGCTATAGCATCTAATTTAACACACCTTTATTATACTGGCTCTCCTCAGGGCTTTCCAACACACTGGAAGCTTACATGTGCTCATGGGCTGAAGAAACCTAACACAAAATATCCTGCCACTGTTGCTGAATATGGATTTGGGGTCACAGATTCACAAAATGGGTAAGGTTGGAAGGGACTACAGTGGGTCACCCAGCCAAACCTCCCTGCAGGAACAGAGTCTTGCTAGAGCACATTGAGCACGATTGGGTCCAGGCAGTTCTTGAGTATCTCCAGTGAGGGAGACTCTGCAACCTCTCTGGGCAATCTGTTCCAGTGTGCAGTTATCCACACAGTAAAATTTCGTCCTCATGTTCAGGGAGAATTTCCTGTGCTTCAGTTTCTGCTTTTTGCCTCTCATTTTACTGCTTGTCACCAGTGAGAAGAGTCTGGCTCCATTTGTCAGGTTTGTAATACCCATAGGAAATAAATATTGTTCAACAGTCAAGTACTACCCTAGAAAGTCTGGGCTTTTGGAGCCTCCATTCATGCATTCATGTTTAAAAGCACTACCTGCCTGCTGCTGGTGACAACCAAGAGCAGCTTTCAGACTGCTCCAGATTACATCAGCAACCAAAGGCCAAACCACCTCCTGGGCAGCACAGCCAACAGAAGGAAGAAAAATCCTTGATGTGTCTGCAAATTCCTGCCAGATTACCTGCTCTCAAAGCATCAGAGTAAATTGTAGCCCTAATATATGTGCCCAAAGCTAATTGTTCTCAGAGTAAGACCCATAGGCTGGAATAAATAGCTGTCAGACATCCTGACAGAAAGGTATCAGATAATACAAATATTTTAAAAGTCAACATGTTTATATTTATTTAGAATCTTACATAGTGCATTTTATTGTTGATAAGCATATTCCCTCACCTTCCATTTCTCCAGTAACACACCATTCTCTTACATATACACTAATTTAAAGATATCAATATCTTCTGGAAACAAGAGAAACAGTGCAACTTCCTTATTTTCTATGACATTGCATCAGCTGGGGGGAGGGAAGAAAATTAAAATGAAATGATGCAGTGGGGGAGAAGTGATGATATAGATGGATGAAGGCCAGGCTGGAAACCCCATTTAAATTTCCTTTGCACTGAAATAAAAGTTACCAAAGGGAAAACTGGAAATCTGCCTGATGTAGAAGGCTCCTAACTGTTATTACCAGTTGGCAGGTTTCTTCCCTGTCTATGCAAGGGAGGTACAAAAAGAGGAAATGGCACATATAGTAAGAGTGAATGCATTCTAGCCTCCAGCCAGTCCCACCACCCATTTTTTGTCTATTCTCTTTCAGACATATTATGTACAAAAATAGGCAGTTTGCACTATGGGGGAGCTAAAAAGCCTTCTTTCCATTAATGCAATTTCCTAGCCTGAAAGACTGCAAGGTAAGAACCTCAGAGAACAATTTCAGATAATTATCAAGATTTTCTAACTTTTATTCTTCCCTGTGGCAGGTTTTTATAGCTGAACTGAAGCTGATGCAACCACCAGAATGAAAATTAGTAAATGAGAAAGTTTTTAGGATTCATTTGTGGGGGCTACAGATGTCTACTTTTCCTTTGCTGCTGTGTTGGGGAGCAGGGTGATTAAGTATACCAAATGTTGCTGTTAAACACTCTCCTCCACTTACTGTTGCCCAATATATTACATTTGCCATCTTTCCCACTGCAGTGTTACTGCAGGTTGTGCCCCTTTCCCTCAGACTGGATGGAGCACTAACAGTTAGTTTATAATGTACAGCTGTTCCATGCAGAGCATCAGCTAAACACATACAGGAAATTATATGCTACTAACAAATTGCATAGGAGAGCAACACTGCTGAACATGTACCCTGCAGTGGGTGTTTGGCAAAATGGATGTAAGTGCATTACGGAGCCAAATATAACATCCTTTTAATAATAGATGCCTTTGAAAGAAAGGGTTACTAAACAACAACCCACTGCCATGAACATTTGTCTTCCAGAACACGATCGCTTTCCTCTGGCAGGGCACTGACATGGGGGAGCTCAGCTGCCAGTTCTTACCCTTCCCCGAGCACAATACTCCATCCGCCGACTCGCAGAGACTTCTGCTCTCCTCCTCTGTCATGTTGCACTTCCTGGAGTGCTGGCACAACTTCCCAAACCATCCATCCTGGCAAATGCATCGGCCGCACAAGCAAATCCCATGGCCTGTAATGACACCAAGGGTGGTTATGAGCAAGACAAGCAGACACTAGTGATTGTGGTCACAGCTGAGATCATTTTCAGACCTCAGCAGTGTGAAGTGTGTGCTATGGGATAGACAGACAGATGGATGGACAGCACAGCTTCTTGGCAGAATGGCCTTCTTCAGTCCTCTCATTCTTGTATTTAACAGGATGCCTCAGTAATGTGCAAAAAAACAAGTGAGGGAAAGGTCAAAGAAACCCTAGACATAGGTCAAAGAAACCCTAGACATGGGTCAAAGATAGACCCTAGAAGTTATAATCAATGCTTAAAAAAGGGGGGAAAAAGATAAAATATAATTTTTTGAGAATTAGATTAATAAGAAAGGAAAATAGTAAATAGCTGAAGAGTAAATAGTTGAATAGTAAGCTGAGTAGAAAATCTGGCCAGGAAGAAGGGAGAAGTGACAACAAATGCAGACAAGAATACAGGAATGGAGGATAGAAAAAAAAGGAAGTAAGAAATGTCTCCCAGACAGAATTTCACTTTTCAGTTTAGAATAATATTTCTGTAGCAGAAATAATAATTACTTAGCTAATCTGTTTACTGGGCTTAAAAGAAGCAAATTATACGACGTACCCGTTACTTTTGTCCTATCCTACCTGCTATGTAGGGCAAGGGAAGAGAAACGAAGGGACTGAGATAATTTGGGAGCATGGGCTGGGAAGAAGGGAACAAGCAGTAGGAGTATCTGACAAAGCACTGAGCTGTAGGATGCTCAGAAGCAAACTGGCAATTTTGGTTTTCTGGTTTGAGCCAACAGTGCAACTTTGTATTGTAAACCAGGAGGCAGCACTGGTAGAAACCCAGAGGAGAGACAAACCTTGTAGTTTGCTGTAAGTGGAATTCCTTAAAGTTTCACTGATGGCTGAATACTTTAGTAATTTAAATTAGAAAATACTGGAATCTCCAAAGTCTTGGAGCTGTCATTTATGGTATCTAAACATTCAAAATAATTTTGGCATACCAGGCCCTGTGTTGATATTTGGGGTTTTTTTTATCTTTTTACCTATACAGTTTTAAAAGCTTAGCAATTTGCAGCAAACAGGGTTTACCATTTACCACATAAAATTTGACTTGCATTTTTCTGCAATGACCATTCATCTCCTCCTTTATGCCACGTAAATCCTCAAAACATAAAGGATTCTTTTGTCTCAAGTAATCCATTTCATAAAAATCATATTCATTTCCAGCTAACACCAGCTAGGGCAGCTGCAGCTCTTTGGATTTCGCATCCATTGGGGTGATGTGTATGTAAGTGCTTAGCCCAGTGCTTGTTAACTCCTAGCTGTCTCCTGTGTGTGTGATAGCCTGTGAAAAAACTGCTTTACACAGTTTAGTTGTGTATATCTCCCCTGCAAATCATAGAGTCATAGAATCAACCTGGTTGGAAGAGATCTCAGAGATCATCGAGTCCAACCCTACCGTGGTTACTAGACCATGGCACTAAGTGCCACATCCAGTCTCAGCTTGAAAACTACCAGGGATGGTGAATCCACCACCTCCCTGGGCAGCACATTCCAATGTCTGATCACTCTCTCTGTAAAATATCTCTTCCTAATATCCAACCTAAACCTTCCCTGGCAGAGCTTGAGTCTGTGCCCTCTTGTCCTGCTGCTGGTTGCCTGGGAGAAGAGACCAACCCCCACCTGACTCCAACCTCCTGTCAGGGAGCTGTAGAGGGTGATAAGGTCTCCCCTGAGCCTCCTCTTCTCCAGGCTAAACAACTCCAGCTCCCTCAGCCTCTCCTCAGACATAACCTGAATAGTTAAATCAGCATTTTATCATGTTAAGCAATTCATTTGGGCCAGACTTCTTCAATTAGGGATTTTTCTTTACCCCTAACCATTCATATTCAGTAGAGCTACTGAAAAGCACTGACCTATCTTCATTTCAGATTTAACATAAACCAGTTACAATCACAAACAAATTGTATTGCAGTGCAATAGCTCTGAGACTACAGATTTGCATTCATAAAAATCTATGTTAATGAACTTTTAATTATTAAATAATATTTTAAACATTAATCTCAAATCTAGAATAAAGACTTTGATGGAGGAGAGGCAAAGGAGAGAAAAAGAGGGCAATAGAGATATTGTCATTTTGTTTGGAATTATAAATCCAATAGCCATAAGTGTGAAATATGAATGCAGCAACAAAACGAGCTGTGACTGATTACTCACAGGGGTCCATGATAACCCAAACCAACCAGAACCAAACTGGACACCAGGATGAATTATTTCTTACTATGCCTGGAAACAAAATTTTGTGGTTGTGGGAAATCTCAGTTGTGACTACTCATGCAGCTGTTGTCAGAGCTCTCAAAAAACCTGCATGATCATTTTCTAATACAAAAGGCACCACTACATGGGAATGCCAGTGTGATGAAAAAGGTGAAGTAATCATTACAGAGGAAACTGGTTCTTCTTAATAAACTAACTGATTAAAACCAGATGATTTTCCTGAAGGACAAGCTGAGGCCAGCTCCAAGCAAAATTTGGCACCTCAGGAACACAAGTTTCTCAAACAAATATAATATAATGTGTTATAACTGGATGAAAAATAAGAAGTTTTAAATGTGTACTAGGAATATGAAAAATCACAACATAATGCAGCATCCTTTATATGGAACACTACAGTAAATGAAACAAATATTTCTCCTTGTATTTAAATAGAATCATTATTTCCTTTTTTTTTTTTTAATTGCAGGACTTTTCATTATATTATTAACAGAAGAGAATATTAAACAACATCTATCTGGGAGAAATATTTCTCAGTGAGAATTTACCCTTCATTACCCTGCCTAAATATGCTAAACAAGTTGGTAAAAACATTACTGGAACACTGATTCTTATTTTTTAGATTTTATTGAATATCAGGAGAATGCCATAAGACTGGAACAGTTGTGACAACTGCAGTTAGAGGAGCCTAAAATAAATGTGAAGCAACTTTCAAAGAAGTTTGTTTGTTTGTTTTTCAATAGGCTAAGCAGATTCAGGCCTCGAAGCAGAGAAAGTGGCAAAGAACTTCGAGACCTGTGTCAGCTTAGGCTATTGAAAAACAAACAAACAAACAAGCAAACAAAAAAAAAGGGCTAAGAATTGTTTTAGCAGGATCTGGACTTCCTTCTTTGAAGGTACTGGAATGGGGATTCTCAAACTACCGGAGAATGACAAAGCAAAAAAGAACAGCTGATGCTGACTAAATCATTTAAGGAACGAATCAGCATTTCAAACAAGGGTGATGACTGTTGGAACAAAGCTCCAAGTGATCAGAGCACGACCTGCTCAGAGTCAAGTCTTTTGCTGCACACAGACTTCAATGTAGGCAAAGCAAGGATATAGTGCAATGGCTATATATAGCCTAAAATACAAGGTTCAACAGAAAAGCCTCTTTTGGATTTACAAATTAGTATCTAGCAATCAATCACTCTAAATGTTGATGCACTAGCAATTCCCTTACTGCTTGTTTGAACAGAAAGATTAAATTAAAATGCATTTTACTAACCTAAATCGCATTTCAGGCTATGTGAAAAGCTAATCAAACTATGTTCTCTGTACATCTATGTAAAGTCTTGGCTTTTCATACACCTACACAAATGTCTGGGTGACCAGGAGAGAAACCTGTTGTGCACTTAAAAGAAAAAATGAGAAAAATTAAAATTAGTTAAGCAAACCCACATCGATTTAATACAGATGATACCATGCCATTAATACCTATACTGGATACATTAGTCACTCATATCTAATATCTGCTGATCCTTTTGAATTTATCTGGTGCTGCCTCTGGATGAGCCTCAGAACTAGGAGGAAGCAGTTAAGCCAAGGACACAGGGATTGAATCATTAACTCTCTACTTAGTGTTGTCAAAATAAAACCCTAAATCACACTAGTTTTATGCCAGGTAGACTTCTCCACTACCTAATACAGTTATTTTTACTTTGTAGCTAGCCCTAGTTTTACATGTGTTTGAACTGTGTTTGTTTTAGTTTTCTTTTCCAAAGGAGAATAAATTGCATTTTTCACTAACAAATACCGTAATAAAAATTCTCTATTAAATAGTATGAAAATGTCTAGTGAAATTCATAACAATTACATGTTCTTCAGATTCCTCAATCAAAGGAACATGGTCCCTGCTCTAAAACCTTTCCAATAGCACACATGAAAAACCTGTTGGTTAGGAAATTACAGAGAAATTTCTGGTTCTATTCAGATACCTAGTGCCATTGGACATACCCTAAGGACATCCTTGTGATGGTGGCAACTGTGCAGGTGCACCTGTGTCCTTGTGGAGCCAAGCTGAGATCAGGCAAAGGTAGGTTTGGGCATCAAAAATGGTAAAAGGCTTTCCTTTAGGCAACTGAAGACTTAAAAATTATGTCCCATGTAGTCTGAGAAGCCATGGCAGAGTCAGGAGCTGAATTCATATTTTTGAATTTTCATACTAGTCGGTGCCAAAAGCTGTCTTTGTTTGGGAGATAGATGGGTAACCTTCTTCTCTCCTAATTTGGTTTTTAGGTCTATTAAAGAGTTCCATAAATGTCCTGTGTACCTCTGGGTTTTTAAAGCAACATTAATACAAGAAATGAGGAACCTGTCTGACAGCAACTTCACCATAATATTAATACTTAGCTTTGCTTAATGAAGCACATAATTAATCATAACTCTCATTTTTATGGTTATGGTCTTCTTGGTCCTCATAAGAACATGTTATCTGAAAAGATCATGCTTCTGCTTCACTGAAGAGATGACAAAATTAAATGTCATTCATGATTGCTGCAGTATGGACCTAGAACTTTCATAAAGAAAGAATTTACATTTTCTGCTATATATCTTATATATACATATATATGTAAAAAGAAAGTAAGGCAGTACTTCCTCTAAATCCAATTATTTATCCTGGCTGGATAGTAATAAAAATTTTATATTCAAAGGAATGTGTCAATTAGGGGCAACTTATACCAG